GTTGGATGTACATTATTTCCTATGGAATATTAACAAAACATACGTTTTTATAGATAAAAAAATAATATTGCATACAGAAAATGCAGGACTAAATTCAAGTTCCACTGTATAACATATAAGACAAACTCCAAGAGTTTTGTAGGAACTCAACTTCCTTAATTATTCAAGTTTCCATTAATTATTAGCACTAGACACCATTGTATTTAAAAATCTCGGCTTTTATTTGAGGTTGGTCTTGTATCTTGCTAGTTGAAATCCCATAAAGCACTGTTGAGTAAGATAAGATAAAGATAGATTTTGAGTTCGGATTTTTAAACCCCGGAGGGTTAGCCCACCCAGGATAACCCAAGAAATTCAGTGCGTCATCGAGGACTGTCTAACTAATTTCCATTGGGGTCCGTAATCTTGTCCCCCCAGGATGCGACCCCACCACCAGTCCGACTAACACACCAGGTACCTATTTGCTGCTTAGGTGAACAGGGACAACAGGTGTAAGGAAACGTGTCAGAAATTCCACGCACCCGCCGGGAACGAACCCGGGCCCTCCGTGTGTGAGCGGAGCTTTAGCCACCAGAACCACCTGGCCTGATAACTTGAATAGAAATACGCTCTACGTACTTAACAAAACAGGAAACATAGCTAGATACTAGAATGCAAAATGCTGAACACTAAGCACTAAATACTATATGCTAGAGGTCAGGGGCCTAACTATGGAAAATGTAAACTATGGAAGCACTGACATGCGCTCCGATCCAGATCTTCTAACTGCCCATCTTTTTAGATATCTTTACCAAAAAATCGATCCGAAATTACGAGTCAAGCTCTTTAATCTTTTAATTTAACAAATTATGGCACTTCAGGAAAATTAAAATACAACTGCAACCGTCCTTTGCTTTCACTGACGCAGATGATATTGGTCTATAAATGTGATCAAATTCACGTTTTTTTGTTTCTTCTCTTCTAGACTCAAGCAGGGCAAGATCACAGTCTGCCTTGACCCACGGAGGTTCTCAAATATGAAAGTATAACATTTAACTTCCCCCGAGTTTTCTCTCACAGCTGCGATGGTTTAGCATTACAGTGGATGGAGAACGCGCTCCCGGTTTACGATATTATTTCCATTCCTGAAGTACAGTGGTCCCTCGTTTTTTCGTATTAATTCCGTTTCATGGAGGAGGAGCTACTATAAACGAAATTTAACGATTTGCGAATCAAATTTTTTGCCCATTAAGAAATAATGGAAAATACATTTAATCCCGTTCCTGACACCAGAAGTATTAAAACAAAAATTTTTTTACATGAAAAATAGAATGTAGTACATAAACATACAATGGTAAATGATGAATGAAACATTAACAGCATAACACTTACCTTTATTTGGAGATTCTACTTAGTGTAATACGGGAGACTTGAGGAGGAGAGAGAGTGGATTGTTTATAGTTGGAAGGGAATCTCCTTCCCATCAACACCTCAGGTACCATTTGCCTTTTCTGGGGTGCTCTTCTTCTTCCTGTTTTCTTAAATGCCATTCTAGACCCTCTGTTTCTTCTTGAGTCTCTTCAACACTTCCCTAAAATGGCCCAAGACTTTTTTGTCACTGGACATATTTCTCACCTTCTTTGGCCACAGCTTGGCACTAGTGAGCTTTCTTTGGAGCCATGTAGCTTATTTAGTACTTGCAAGCACAAAATGAGTGAAATATTATGAAATATTTCGTAAGACAACTTGGAGGGGACCTCTCTCACACTCGTAAACAATGCAGAACAGACTGCTGGTAGGGAGGCCACCGCCAGCCACACCGTGCGTACACGTCCCGGACAAGGGGCCTACTATATGCGAGACAACCTATGAAAAGTGAGTCCATGTTAACGAAAATACCCCTACTGATAGGCAAATTTAACGATTGCCGAGAACTACGAAAAGCAGGGACCACTGTATGGTCATGTTCCAGTACTGAACGAATATTTGGTTCTCCATAAGGAATATTGTTAAGTGAGATTAGTCCATTACAGAACCCCCAACTACACGTACCAAACGAACGCACTTACATAAATACACTTACATAATTGTGTCGCATGAGAGCTGATCAGGAAGTGGGGGGTCCACTGTGTTTTTGAAAGCAATGCGAAGACTGAGGAAGATCCTCTCGTCTCTATACTGAACAATCATTGAGAATCACTTCAGTCTTTATATTTCACGATGGCCTGACATGATAGCAAACATTCTGCAATCTAAATTATTATTATCAAATAAAGTTCAATAAACTAACAAGGGTCCATGCAGTGTTCTCTGCAATCTAAAATTTCTTCATATAGTAAGTACAGTGTACCCCCGCAAAATAACGATTTTATCCGCAAGAGGGTAATTGTTAAGCGAATAATCGGTATGTGAATGAATTTTCCCCATAAGAAATAATGGAAAAAAAATTAATAATCCGTGCAAGACATACCCAAAAGTATTATAAAAAAAAAAATTTTTTACACATGAAATGTTAATTTAAATACACACAAATCTGCAAAAAGGCATTGCACACTTACATGACACGTATTAATTGAAGATCTCGTGATGATGAGGGGATGGGGGAGGGGAGTAGAGTGTTATGGTTTAGAAGGGGGAATCCCCTCCATTAAAGACTTGAGGTTTCGAGTCCTTTTCTGGGGTTACTTCCTCTACTTCTTTAAATGCACTAGGACCAGCTTTCAGAGTCACTGGACTTCTTCCACGACCATACTGTCCATAGTGGCTTGTACACTCGATCCTTTATGACTATCCCTAAAGTGTTTCACAACATTGTCAGTGTAATAGTCACCAGCACACGGCTTGCAATAGCTGTGTGAGGGTGATTTTCATCCATGAAGGTTGCACTTCAAGCCACTATGCCAGATTTCTCTTAATCTTTGTAGTAGGCAAGACCTTCTTCAATTTCTCTCTCCTCCTCCTCTGAACCAGTTTCCCCCAGGTCTGGCCTCTTGCTCTTGAATTTGATCTATCACTAATCAGTGTTAGTTCTTCATTGTCCTCCTCCACACTCTTCCACATCCTCCCCACTAAAACTCCAACCCCATGGCTTTTCCCAATGCCACAATGGATTCCTCAAGTGGCATAATCCTCTCAGGTTAGCCTCAAACCCTCAAAATCCATTTTGTCTACACATTTCTGGCTACAGTTGTCCATCCAAGCAGAGTTTCAAGGTCTTCTTAGTCAACTCCTCTCCCAACCTTACCTATAAGGTTTACACAATTGATGATATCAAGTGCTCTCTCCAAAACTTCACTTATATTCAGTTGAGTTTCTGAGTCACTACAAAGCACACCTTTCAAAACAGAGCTTTTGTGTTGACAGTTTTTTGAAGTTTGCAATAACACCTTCTGGTCCATGGCTGCAGGAGGAGGAGTGCTATTAGGAGGCAAAAACTTCAACCTTAATAAGCTCATGTCCCCATAAAGTCGCTCTGCCACGTCTGTAGGATACCAGGGGCATTGTCCTAACACCAGGAGGCACTTAATTTTCTAATTTCTTTCAGTTAGAGGTATTCTTTCACATTGGGGGCAAATTGCTTGGTGTAACCAGTTATAGAAAAAGTCCCTAGTGACCCATGCCTTACTGTTTGCCCCCACAGCTCACACAAAATTATCCTTGAGGAGACATTCTTTTTGGCCTGAACGCTCCTGGGGAGTTTCAGAGTGATAATACACAAATAAAGGCTAAAAACTTTGCAATCACCACTAGCATAGAACACCATCAACAAGTAAGCCCTGTCTTTCATAGGCTTATGTCCTGGGAGTGCCTTTTCCTCCTGAGTAATGTAGTTTCCTGCTTGCATTTTCTTCCAAAACAAGGCCTGTTTCATCACAATTAAAACCACTTGTAACAGGTTTCAGTCCTTCACTGTCTATGTACCCTTGAATTCCTGCACATAATTTTCAGCCACATTGTGGTCCGAACTGCAGCCTCACCAATGCCATATCACACTATGGATGCACTAAACGCTTCTTAAATCCACTGCAAAACCAACCTTTGCTGCCTTAAAATTCATCATCACATCAACACTAGTTGCCAGGCAATTTTTATAATTAAATCCTCATGCACTTCTAGCCTTTTTCACATATGATCGCTTGAGAGATTGCTATCTCACTGCAAGCTGTTTTTTCATTATCCACACAAATAAGAGTCTCTCAACATCTCCATCCACTTGCGATCTTTGGTTTCTAAAACCACAGTTTAAAAAAAAACGCTTTGGCAAGAACAGCTTCCTTGATTGCCTTTTCTGGTGCCCACAATAGTCAGCAATGGTTGATTGGGGTTTCTTTGTACAAACCTGACCAGAGTCCGATACGCACACCACTTTCATACTTATCAATGGACTCTTTCTTCATTTCTATTGGAATTCTCACCCTTATTGGTGACGGTTGGCACTAGAAGCTTTCTGGGGCCCATGTCACTTATTTTCCAGAAACAGCACCGAAACACTGTAATAATACAAATATACCATTTGTAATGCTTGGATGTTACCTACCGCGGAGGCTGGCAGGTAAACCAATGGCACGGGCGCACATGTGAGGCTGTGCTGAGGCGCACATTGGAGACGCTCTTGGACGAAAATCGTTTGAGCGGGGTTTTTTAATCGTAATGTGCGCAAAATTTTTGCGATTAAGCCAAGCTATGATGGCGGATTAATCGCTATGTGAAGCCATCTTTATTCGGGGGTCCACAGTAGTAGGTTTGCCGTGGCTGTCCCAGCCCGTTTCTTTTTGCCCATATGTGACCCAGCATTTGGCCCCCATCGATATAGCTGCTGTCCATCACATCACGAGCTGTAGCAATTGCCCAAATATCACTTCTTTAGTCGTTGCTGTCGGCGCCATAACTAAGTCCTTCGACATTGAGTAAGTGACCCAAAATTAGCATTAGTGTCGAGCAAATGATCAAACACTTGTCATTATTTCTCTATCAAGACGAACCAGGTGTTAATCCTTTGTGATTCCATTTCCTCCTTACAGCATCTCTCCATGTTCCCAATCAATTTGTTTTTTTCATCTCTGAACGTCTTACAACCGTCGATATTCCATTCTGACCAAACTGAATCCGTCAAGAAACTCACCGCTCAACACTCATCATTAAAATTGAACTCGGAGAATTATCAAATCCAGGCAGCACTGTGGAACGATCATGCTAGGATCCTGCAGCCTGATTCTGAACACAGTCAGTGTGAATGAGTACTTTTTTCCAAAATCCATGCAAAGTAAGAAAATGGTAACATGGTGGTTAACAGCCTGCCTTGGCCACCTCTTGTATAAAACTGGTTTTCATGTCTATCATGTCCTGGAGAAGTGAAGTATCTCCTCAAGGTACAGTGGACCCCGCTAATGATCAGCTCTCAATGCGACCAATTATGTGTATGTATTTAATGAAAGTGGCCGATTGTAAGTTTATGTTTGGGGGTCTGAAAGTTGACTAATCTACTTCACAATATTCCTTATGGGAACAAATTCCGTCAGTACCTAACTGCACCTGAACATACTTCTGTGAGTGAAAAAATATCGTTAACCTGGGTCCACGAACTTTTTACAACCTTCACTGCTTTTGTCCTTGGCGCTCCACCTGGTTTTTCCAGACTCTGACTTCCCAACCACATATCCAAGATTTTCCCAGCGTAGTGATGAAAGAGAGAGGAGCATGTGGATGAGCTCGATAGTTCCAAAAAACAGGCCTCGGGGCCTGTGTCTGAAGCTCTTGCTTCACAAGACCGTTCCACCTGCCTCCCAGCATACGTAATGAGGATTACCCAGTAAACTCTTGCTGTCTTCAAGAAGGCACTGGGCAGGCACCTAAGTCAGTCCCTGACCACTGGGCTGGTGGTTCCTGGAGGTCAGCTTGCATGTGTCCAACAATTAAAGCCTGGTTGATTAGTCCTGATCCACCATGAGGCCCTGGTCAAAGATTGGGCCATGGGGGCATAGACCCCCCCAAAAACCTCTTTCGCAGGTATACTCAGGTATCACATGGCAAGGATCCAAGGGTATCGATTCCCGACAAGGTAGAAACATTGGGTGTGTTTTACCTTACACCAGTTGCTATGTCCAACCCAGCATTACAGTAGGTACCTGGGAGAAAGTGGACTGGTGTGGTCACGATCCTGGGTGTTAGTGGTGGACTGGTGTGGGTCACATCTGGGTGTTAAGTGGACTGGTGTGGTCCCACTCCTGGGTGTTAGTGGACTGGTGTGGGTCACATCCTGGGTGTTAGTGGACTGGTGTGGGTCACATCCTGGGTGTTAGTGGACTGGTGTGGGTTGCATCCTGGGTGTTAGTGGACTGGTGTGGGTCACATCCTGGGTTAGTGGACTGGTGTGGGTACATCCTGGGTGTTAGTGGACTGGTGTGGGTCACATCCTGGTTAGTGGACTGGTGTGGGTCACATCCTGGGTGTTAGTGGACTGGTGTGGGTCACATCCTGGGTGTTAGTGGACTGGTGTGGGTCACACCCTGGGTGTTAGGGACTGGTGTGGGTTCAACATCCTGGGTGTTAGTGGACTGGTGTGGGTCACATCCTGGGTGTTAGTGGACTGGTGTGGGTCACATCCTGGGTTTAGTGGACTGGTGTGGGTCACATCCTGGGACAAAACTGACCTAATTTGTGGGAAATGCTCAGCATAACAAGGTACTTTCTATGTAGTAGTATGTCATTGATGTCAACTATGGTCTGTATACCTTGTACATGTATACCTTGTACATGTATACCTTGTACATGTATACCTTGTACATGTATACCTTGTACATGTATACCTTGTACATGTATACCTTGTACATGTATACCTTGTACATGTATACCTTGTACATTGTAACCTTGTACATGTATACCTTGTACATGTATACCTTGTACATGTATACCTTGTACATGTATGCCTTGTACATGTATACCTTGTACATGTAAAACCTTGTACATGTATACCTTGTACATGTATACCTTGTACATGTATACCTTGTACATGTATACCTGTACATGTATGCCTTGTACATGTATACCTTGTACATGTATACCTTGTACATGTATACCTTGTACATGTATACCTTGTACATGTATGCCTTGTACATGTATGCCTTGTACATGTATACCTTGTACATGTATGCCTTGTACATGTATACCTTGTACATGTATACCTTGTACATGTATACCTTGTACATGTATACCTTGTACATGTATACCTTGTACATGTATACCTTGTACATGTTCTGGTAGAATTTTATTATTATTATTTATTATATTAACAAGTCGGCCGTCTCTCCCACCGAGGCAGGGCGACCCACCGAGGCAGGGCGACCCACCGAGGCAGGGCGACCCACCGATGTAGGGTGACCCACCGAGGCAGGGCGACCCACCGAGGTAGGGTGACCCACCGAGGCAGGGCGACCCACCGAGGCAGGGTGACCCACCGAGGCAGGGCGACCCACCGAGGCAGGGCGACCCACCGAGGCAGGGCGACCCACCGAGGCAGGGCGACCCACCGAGGCAGGGCGACCCACCACCGAGGCAGGGCGACCCACCGAGGCAGGGCGACCCACCGAGGCAGGGCGACCCACCGAGGCAGGGCGACCCACTGAGGCAGGGCGACCCACCGAGGCAGGGTGACCCACCGAGGCAGGGCGACCCACCGAGGCAGGGTGACCCACCGAGGCAGGGTGACCCACCGAGGCAGGGCGACCCACCGAGGCAGGGCGACCCACCGAGGCAGGGCGACCCAAAAAGAAAGAAAATCCCCAAAAAGAAAATACTTTCATCATCATTCAACACTTTCACCTCACTCACACATTATCACTGTTTTTGCAGAGGTGCTCAGAATACAACAGTTTAGAAGCATATGCGTATAAAGATACACATATCCCTCCAAACTGCCAATATCCCAAACCTCTCCTTTAAAGTAGGGTAGTGGTCTGTGGTATTATCTGTAATTATGCCTGATTTTAAAGGGGATATGGTGTTGGTCCAGATGTGGTCAAGTAGGGAAACACTAGTCTCCGTAACTCTTGTAGGTTTTGTTACTGTTGGTATAAAGATACACATATCCCTCCAAACTGCCAATATCCCAAACCTCTCCTTTAAAGTGCAGGCATTGTACTTCCCATTTCCTGCCTGGCTGCATGTACACCCACCAAGTTAAGTGAGTGATTGCTGCAATTTGCTAACACTGTCGGGCTGTTTTTCTCAGTCATTCTTTGGTAAACACCACTTTTGTGTCCAGCCATCGCAGCAGCATTGTCATAGCACTGTGACCAACAATCTTGTAGCTCCATTATCTTATCCTAACAGGAAAAGTTGGCAGATCTATAACTTCCTACAAACACAACACGGAGTAATAGCAAACAGAGTCAAGTCTGAGGCAGCTACAGTGAAACGGTCTGTTCCACAAGACATATGCATCTGAAGAATTTTCTTTTTCACTATCTGAAGATGGCTTGTCTAACTTTAATAAAAACTGGTCAGTGGTGCCCCCCATTCAAGTGGTGCCCAAGCAAGTGGTACCCTTAGGTACGCCACTGCTAGAGGTGGATCAATAAGTTGGCCTTTAGTATTATCTGCCAATATTTTCACTTAATAGATGTCGCAATTTGTAATAACAGTAACAGCAGGTATAAGGTATCTAACACCCAGGTACCTACTTACTGCTAGGTGAAAAGGGACAGCAGGTGACTTAAGGAAACACGCCCAATGTTTCCACCCGTACCGTGGATCAGCCACAGTCCTCAATCCATGAACCAAGTGTGCTACCAACCCAGCTACTGGTATATATAGTTCCTGGTATATAAGGTTACTAGTATATCTAGTGACTGTTATATTTAGTGACAGGTAGATCTATTAATGATTCTCTTCAAATTGCTTGTTCTCTACTAGGCTGGAATACTGCTGTACACTAATTGCTCCCTTTCAAGTATGATAAAACTTCTAAAAATTACTGGGGAACGGTTGAAGTCCCTTGATTTGTATTCCCTGGAATGCAGGCGAGAAAGATACATGATAATATACACTTAGAAAATCCTAGAGGGATTAGCACCAAACTTGCACACGAAATCACTCCCTATGAAAGGAAAAGACTCGGCAGGAGATGGAACTTTCCCCCAATGAAAGCAGGGGCACCATGAGTAACACTAAGAGACAACACAGTAAGTGTCAGGGGCCCAAGACTGTTCATCTGCCTACCATGCATATATAAGGGGGATTACCAATAGATCCCTGGCTGTCTTCAAGACCAGTGGCTATTGTGGCATGCATAGAGTATGTTACAGTTTATTCAGTACTATATGTCACACTCCCATGTAGGTTGCCTCCCAACCAGCGAACCAGGTGCTAAGAGTTTAACGATCAATAGGGTACCCATCGTTAAATCAGTGCCTTGGTTCATTGACCAATCATAGACAAGCCCGCCAAAGCTGAAGCAACGTAGTTTACTTGTGTCAAGTTTACTGACAGACTTGTCCGAGTGTTGGTTGATACAGTGCGTGCTATCTGGCTTTTGTGTTTTGCCATCTTGTCACTGTGTGGTTATCTACTTAATATTCACCTCTGTACATAGGTGCATGTAGATATCCAGCAAATTATATCTGGTGCAGGAAATACGACTTATATGCTATTGCTGAGTTTGCTCGACTCACACCTCTAGGGAATTGGATCTGTGCTCTGGTTCCCTGAATTAAGTCTGGATAGCATCCATTACCCCCCCCCCCCTCCAACAGGTACTGTATAATCCTACAGGTTTAGTGCTCTCCCATGATTATAATTGCTCCATTTTGAAACCCATTATGACCAGGTCTCAGACCATACTATACCTGTGTTCTTAATGCTGTCTTCAAGACCCCCTAGCTGTCTTCAAAACCCCTGGTTGTCTTCAAGACCCCTGGTTGTCTTCAGACCCCTGGCTGTCTTCAAGACACCTGGTTGTCTTCAAGACCCCTGTTGTCTTCAAGACCCCTGGTTGTCTTCAAGACCCCTGGTTGTCTTCAAGACCCCTGGCTGTCATTCAAGACCCTGGTTGTCTTCAAGACCCCTGGTTGTCTTCAAGACCCATGGTTGTCTTCAAGACCCCTGGCTGTCTTCAAGACCCCTGGTTGTCTTCAAGACCCCTGGCTGTCTTCAAGACCCCTGGTTTGTCTTCAGACCCCATGGCTGTCTTCAAGACCCCTGGCTGTCTTCAAGACCCCTGGCTGTCT